CTGCTCTCTCTCTCTCCTCCTGCTCTCCTCTCTCTCTCTCTCTCGTCTTCTCTCATCTCTCTCTCTCTCTCTCTCTCTCTCTCTCTTCTCCCTCTCCCCTCCTCTCTCGTCTCTCTCTCTCTCTCTCTCTCTCTCTCTCTCTCTCTCTCTCTCTCTCTCCTCTCTCTCCTCCCTCTTCTCCCTCCCTCTCCTCCTCCCTCCCTCCCTCCCTCTCTTCTCTCTCTCTCTCTCTCTCTCTCTCTCATCTCTCTCTCTCTCTCTCTCTCTCTCTCTCTCCTCTCTCTCTTCCCTTTTCCCCTTCATCTCCTTCTCCCTCTCCCTCCATTCCTCCACTCACTCCCACACTCCCTTAACATTCTTTCTTACCCCCTCTCTTTCCCGTTACATTCTTTACCTTTTTCCGTGTGGATTATTTCTCTTCCTCTCTCCTCCCCCAGTGACCCCGCCGGACGCCGCTCCCGCCCAGCTCCCCCCGTCCTCCCTTTCACCAGAGACGACCACCCCCGGCCCGGTCATTCCCCCTGCCGTCCTCAAGTGCGACTTCGAAGATGCTGAGAAGCCTCTGTGCGACTTCAAGCAGGATTCGGGCGAATACGATGGCCTCTGGAATCGGGTTGATGCCTCGTCGCCTCCCTCGCCCTTGCACCCGGGCGTGGACCACACCTTACACACAGGTTGGGCTTTATCTCATATGGTTGGATGATGGATAGTGTCGGGGCCGGGCTTTGTGTTTAGGTATTAATGGGTAATGGAGATCAGCAATGAATGTGAACAGTTTTTTTTACGGGGGTCATGTTTAATATATTGTTAAAAAAGGATATTATGGACCAAATACTACAGGGAGAAAACAAGGAAATTCAAACATATTTTTGTTTTATTGTTTATTTGATTTTTTCGAATATATCGGTTAAGAGGATATCGAAATCGAAAAAACAGAAACATGTTTATCAAAGTCTAGCATGCTTTATGATATTTTTTTCATATCCAGGCGCTGGGCATTATATCGCTGCTGGCATGCAAGAGGGCAGCCCGTACAATCAGACAACTGCTAGATTAAAGACGCCGAGAATGGACAACACCTTGGAGTATTGCCTCACCTTCTTCCTCCACCACATAGGCGACCGCCCCCCTCCGTTAATTGTGAATGTTGAGGTACTGATTAATTTGTCATGAGTTTATAAAATAAACATATCCAAATTTTTTAATTTGATAATTGTTTTGACGTTTTCGATAGTGTGATTTTGATAGTCATATCCATAATTTTCTATGCAAATAGGAATTTTTGATGTTTAAGATATCACTTGGGACAAATATAACTGTATGAGAAGAAAATCCATAGAATTACATAGAATTTGATACTTATGCATTTTACTAATTGTCTAGAGACGATGGTCATCTATCTCCGCCCCCTCTTTCTGTCTCTATCTCCATCTCTCTCTCTCTCTCTCTCTCTCTCTCTCTCTCTCTCTCTCTCTCTCTCTCTCTCTCTCTCTCTCTCTCTCTCTCTCTCTCTCTCTCTCTCTCTCTCTCTCTCTCTCTCTCTCTCTCTCTCTCTCTCTCTCTCTCTCTCTCTCTCTCTCTCTCTCTCTCTCTCTCTCTCTCTTTCTCTCTTTCTCTCTCTCTCTCTTCTCTCTCTTCTCTCTCTCTCTCTCTCTCTCTCTCTCTCTCTCTCTCTCTCTCTCTCTCTCTCTCTCTCTCTCTCTCTCTCTTCTCTCTCTCTCTCTCTCTCTCTCTCTCCATCTCTCCCTCTCTCCCTCAGTCTAAACCCAATCACAGCAGTCAACCCAAAACACTTCTCCCGCCATAAACGCAGGCTTGGGACGGGCCGCAGCAAGTGGAACTGCTTCGGCGAGAGTCTTCCCTGCACGACACTTGGGTGTTCGTCGAGAGGGATATCCCCGCGGGTTTTATCGAAGCCAACTTCCTGATTAGCATCGAAGCCAGGCTGAGCACCTACCAAGACGGAGATGCCTCGCTAGATGACTTGAAGGTTGGTTGAGGGTTTTGGTTGTGTTTAAAAGTCTTAAGGATGTTGCTTGTGTTGAAAATCCGGGGTATTTTGATTGTATTGCAAATGTGGAGGGCTTTGGTTGTGAAAAAAATCTGGAGCATTTTGGTTGCATATAAAAGTCGGGAGGGCTTTGGTTGAATACAAAATTTGGAGCGTTTTGGTTGTGTACAAAATCTGGAGGGTTTTGGTTGTAATAAAAATCTTGAGGGTTTTGGTTGTATTAAAAATCTGGGGGGTTTTGGTTGTTCTAAAAAATCTTGAGGGTTTTGGTTGTGTTAATAATCAAGAGGATTTTGGTTGTGTTAAAATCTTGAGGGTTTTGGTTGTGTTAAAAATCTGGAAGGTTTTTGTTCTAAAAAATCTTGAGGGTTTTGGTTTTGTTCAAAATCTTGAAGGTTTTGTTTGTGTTACAAATCTGGGGGGGTTTGGTTGTGTTAAAATATGTAGAGAGCTTTGGTTGTGTTAATAATCTAGAGGATTTGGGTTATGTTAAAAATCTGGGAGGGTTTGGTTGTGTAAAAAAAAATCTGTAGGGTTTTGGTTGTGATAACAATAATGTGTGTGATGATGTGTGTGTTACCTAGCGGGTTGCGGTTGGGTTAGTTTAACTAATATTGAGTAATAATAGTATTTCTTGATATTTCTTTGATGGGAATCCAGTGGCAAGAATATGCTATAACCCGTAGATAGTCATAGGAATTTGATTTTACTCTTCATTTGATAGAGTATTATCTTAATAAAGATGATTAATGCCGTTTCGAATGCACCCAGATTTACAATTTTATATTTTTATCCGTTTTCTTATTCTTATTCTTCTTATAATCACCATTATTCTTATATCATTGTTATCATAATAATTTTCATCATTGTTATCGTTATTATTATCATTACTACCATTATTATTATTGCTGTTATTAATAATATTAGAATTATCATTATAATCATGATCATTATTATCATTACCATTATTATTATTATCATCATTAGCAGCAGCAGCAGCATCCTCATTTCCTTTTTCCCGTAACCTCAGGTGTCGCAAGGGCGGTGCCCCAACCACGACGGCATGTCCTGCTCCTTCAAGCAAGGGTTGTGCGGCTACGAGCAGGAACAGGAGCTGGACGACCTAGACTGGCTCTGGCACGACGGCAAAGGGGACGACGACGCTTTCCTGCCTGTCGAAACCCACTGGCACTTCTACTACGCGTACCTCAACACCTCCGCGCCGCAGGTGAGTTCTTTAAAGGAGTGGGTTTTGTTCAGTCAAGGAGGTGGTGCTGAATATGGCTTTGGTTGTTGCTGGACGGTTGTCTTACTTCTATTTTTAGTTGTATATCTTGTTTTATTATTATTTTTTTTTCTATTTCGCGTATTCGTCCTTTTGATGGAGTTGAGATAAGATTCAGGTTGGATTTTAGATAGTGTTTTTGGTCAGATATCAGGATGAAAAAATAAAGATGGATTCGTAGAGAGAAGGGGGGGGAGATCATTAAAAACAAATGTTTCCTCAGGGATCCTCTGGGGTTATGTACACCACGGAGATTCGCCTCTCGTCGCCGCACTGCATGGTCTTCAACGCCCACATCCACGCGGAGAAAGGGAAGTCGGCTGTCCTCGAAGTCTTGAACGTCGGGGAGGGCACCATCGCCGACGGACAACTCCTAGACCGATTCGAAGACTTAGGGCCAGACTGGGCCACTCTTCAGGTACAGATTTTCTATTATGATGCTGAAATGATAAGAAATCTGTTTTTGTTTCATTCTGTGCGCCATTATTTACTGTGTTACAATATCCACTTTTACTCTATATATCCTTTCACTCATTTTCCCTGTGCTATTCTCCTTCCGCCCCGCAATAAAGCGCTTTCTCTTCTCTCTCCTTTTCTTTCTACTTCTCAAATTTTTAATCCACTTTCTCCTAATATAACCACATCCGTTTTCCTGCAGGTCATGTTGCCCCCGTCCGAACGCCCCATGCGCCTAGCCTTCCAAGGTATCATTCCCATTAACGAGAACTTCGAGCATTCTACCTTGGCCATTGACGATATCTTCATCCGGGCTGGAGGCTGTGACCCCCCGGGCTACTGCACCTTCGACGGCTACCTGTGCACCTGGTTCAACAACGAGCACATGGGGTCGCTAGTATGGGAGTCGTCCGGGCCGGGGGATCTCTCGCTCGAAACAAGGCCGTTTGTGGACTCGACGCAAAGGGACCACTCGGTATGGTGTTCGGCTGCCGTTGGGGCCAGTGACGTTTTCAAGTTTTGTTATTATCTTTTCCAGTTCTGGCTTTCGTTATAATGATTTAATTCTTTGACTTCACATAAGGACTGGTCTTCAGTTCTGTTAATCAACAGCCTTTTCAAGAGAGTTTCGCTCTCAAAAGGCTGAGCCACGTTTTATATTAACGCTAAATGTACCCACATTCTCTGTATTACTATTTATGGCTAAATAAAGTTTCAATTTCAATTTCAATTTCAATAACAATGTACCATAAACTCTTTGATAACTGGGGAGAAAAATGCTTGGCCGTTATTTCCTTTTACCTCATAGAATTTGGAGTATCACAGAGTTTTCCCGCAATTTACATCACATTTACAGATTTACGTGCCTCTCCATCCTTTATATATCCTTTTTATCCCCTCATTCCCTCTGTGTGCTAAACCTAAGTAACCATTTCCTCCCTTTGTTCCATGGGCAGGGAGGTTTCATGTTCATTGAAGCAGACGAAGCTTTGTCAGGGGAAAAGGCCTGGCTCATGAGTGACAGGTTGGCAGCCTCGGGTCCCCATGAGCGTTGCCTCATTTTCTGGTACCACATGTGAGTATCAGCCGGTATTGTATCAACTGTGTTTTGTACTGATGCGTGCAGATCCTGTTATCTTATGCTTTGTGTTATTCTCGTTGTTGTCACCGATATGAGTAAATTGAGAATATGGTTTGGTAAATGTAGTGACTGTTATTAGCAAAGGTTGTATTGGTAATAATAACAGAAGTAGTAGCAGCAATATAAGTAGTAATGATAAAGTATATGATAGTAATAAAACGTCAATACAAGTAATTTTCTTTATTGTCAAACGCTATTTTAGTAGAGCAAGTTCAAACTATCAAACATGCTAATATCCTTAAATACGTATTTACACATTGACCTACATCTTTACCAGGTACGGCGCCAAAGGTACCAGTCTTTCAGCGCACACTTACTGGGAGGAATTTGGGCAGGTGACAACATTGTGGGGATTGAGGCCGACAGAAGCACGTTGGGATTCGGGATGGCAGTATGCGGCAGCACCTTTCAGTAACTACGTTCCGATCCAAGTGAGTGAAATGGGGAATATAATGGAAGAATGGAAGGAAGGAAGAATAGATGGAGGGAAGGGGAGAAGAGTCAGAGGGGAACAGAGGAAGGATGGTTGAGAATGTAATATATATGTATTTTTCATACCCGGTGTATTATCTATATATCTATCCGTCAATGCGTTTGTCTCTCTGTGTGGTTACATAATGATGTATTAAAGTATCTATTTGTTCTCTCTCTCTCTCTCTCTCTCTCTCTCTCTCTCTCTCTCTCTCTCTCTCTCTCTCTCTCTCTCTCTCTCTCTCTCTCTCTCTCTCTCTCTCTCTCTCTCTCTCTCTCTCTCTCAGTCTGTCAGTCAATTTATTTATGTATATGTCTACTTGTCTATATATCTATTCATCTCTCTCCTTACTTAACTCTCTATTTACTTCTCGGCAGCTCGTCTTCGAGGCCGTGCTAGGCTCCGGTTTCATGGGCGACGTGGCCATCGACGACGTCCTCGTGGCCTCCGGCGGCTGCGCCCTTCAGCCGGCTGAGGCCAAGTCTGGGGTCAACTACACGACCCCTGTCCTCCCGACCCTGGAACCCCCGGCCACCAGCTCTCCCGATATGATGTACGATTGCTCTTTCGACGAGAACGACCTGTGCGCCTGGACGAGCGACGCCAGCGAGGTGAGTTGAGTGTGGAAGTTGGCGGATTTCTTGGATTTTTGTGTTTAATATTTGGGATGTGTCTTGAGCTTTTTTTTTTTTTTTTGCATATGTAATTATTTATGATTTATTCCTCAGGGCACAGGAAACCAGATATTGTGGCAGGTTGCCACTGATCAGTATTCAGGTGAGGACTTTTTTCAACGAAAAGTACTATCACCAAAGCAAAGGACTAGGGAAACTGAGGAATTAATCAACAGCAAGCATTTTTAGTGTAAGAATGTAATTTTATGAAATAGATAAACACCACGATGGCGATAAATACAACAGCCGCAACAATAAACAACAAAATATACAATGACATGATACCTAAACAACTAAATACCAACAATAAAAACAACGACATGAGAACATCAGCAGGATAACATGGCAGAGACCTAAATTAAAAAAAAAAAAAAAAAAGTGATAATGATAAATTAATAATAAATCCTGCAGGTGGCTACGCCTTCTTAGACGTTGCCGGCGAGGACCTTGGCCGCGGCGCCCGGGGCACGTTGGTCTCCCCGCCCATCTCGGGCACGGCAGGGTCTTGCCTCTCCTTCTCGTACATCCTGGACGGCTTGCACGAACTCAACATCCTGATTATGGTGAGGAAGTTTTAGCGGATATACTATCTCTTTAGGTCGATTGTATCCGTTTTGTTCGTTGATATTTTTTCTTAAAGGAAATTTCATTTTAAATATTTGATTTGTTAGTTTAGGAGTGACTTATGGTTGAGAATTTCTTACGGAGTGATTCATGTGGTTTCATCACTTTCGATATCATCTTTTGAGCAGAAAGAGACGGATCTCGAGGAAGTGTGGCATGTTATCGGCCCCATTGGCACGGTATGGAAGGACGCGCACATAACTGTCTCGTCTGACGCTGTCTATCAGATCATATTCGAGGGCGTCAGAGGGTCCTGAAGGGCCCTGCAAAATTTGTGACGTTTGTAAAAAGAAAGGTAAGCTAAAGCGTAGGTGGATGCTTTCTGAGATGGATTTACAGTTGTTTATACGTATGCCCACACTCATATAGAGTCTCTTCATACTCCCCACTAACATATTCCCTCAGGGACATCAACAAAAACAGTACACATCAGACATGTCAGAAACTCCTCACGGATTATTTTTCCCTACTCGCAGAGGACTTATGTGATTTCGAAGGCGGACACACATGCGGATGGCACCCAGCGACCTCTCTGGGCCCAGGAACACCTTGCTGGGAGCTCGCAGACGGACAGTACTCGCATGGGGACCACACCACGGGCGTCTCCAAAGGCCATGTCCTCAAAGCCACCAACACCTGGAGCAGCGACGAGAACACGGCACTCTCCAACTCCTCCTTCTACGTGTCGCTAGGGATGTCCTGCGTTAGGTGAGGAAGAGTGAGGCGAGGAAGGGGAGAGGTGGAGGTTGTCGGGTACCTGAGATTTAGGTTCATGTGGTTCAGAGAAAAATGATGGACGGGGGGGGGGGGGGGTTGGGATGTCCTGCGTTAGGTGAGGAAGAGTGAGGCGAGGAAGGGGAGAGGTGGAGGTTGTCGGGTACCTGAGATTTAGGTTCATGTTATTATTTTGTCGTACGGTTTTACTGATTTGGAGATCTCTACTGCTTTCTCGATTTGGAAATGTCAGAAAAGAAATGCAATGATTATTGTTATCTTTTCCCTATAATATTATTTTCATACTATTTTGTATTAAATGAAATATCTGTCGGAGCTTATCTTAGCCTTACCAGATATATCATTGCGAATAATCGTTATGACATTGGGTATCATGATTTTTTTCCCAATTAGCTTCTGGTACTTCTCCCAACCATCAACCTCAGTGGTGATCGAATTGTTTGCTGTTGGGGAGAGCCTGGACGGAGGCTTGGTAGTAAGTAAACATAAACATACAGACTCGCTTTGAACAAATCCACTTGTAGCAACTTTGTTATAAATTATTTTACAATCTAGTCTTTAAATTTCATTGAGATTATTCATTATAACTCGACGTAAACTAAAATCTGAACATCAGTACTCACACATCAATATCAATAATTAACCACATATAATCGCCGATTAAAACATCATTATGAGTCCAATGTATTTTCTTTTCTCTCTCATCGTCATTTTCTTCAGCCTCCTGAGAACATCTTCGGAATGCCAGCGGGTAGACTGGATGAATGGTTTTTCGTCAGAATTCCTGTGTCCTACAAGTTATTCCGACTCCAGATGAGTGCCACCTTCGCGTCCCCGGACAACACTTCTGCCGTGGTTGTCGACGACTTCAGAGTCCAACAAGGAACCTGTGGACTACCAGGTCTGTTATATTTTAAGGAGCTATACGCTTTAGGACAGTATATAAACAATTGTTTGGTCTTTTACCTCATATCATAAACAGACTATCAAAAATCCTCAATTTCAATGATTTCGAAACAATGCCCGTTAACCGTGAGCTTACATTTGTAGTACGAAAATCGTTTAATGCATAGACAATATACGGATGATTAAAACACTGCATTAAAAACATAGCAGGATATCTAGCAAACTACACATTTTCCTATTCTCAGGCGAGTGTAACTTCAACGAGGGCGACCTCTGCGGCTGGATTCCCTCCCGCACCGAGAAGGCATACTGGGAGGTGATCGCCGGGAGCGACCATACGTACGGCGACCTTGGTAAGCGGTGGGTATGAGGATTAAAGGGCTTTCAGATTTACTTCATTTTTATGTTCTTTCAGTCAGTATGAATAGGGAATCTCGCACTGATGTCACATTTACAGTGCGTTATCTATTTCAAAAGCTGATAATCCATAGGATTATTTTATACCAGTATTTTTTTTGTATCTTTATGTTATATGTGTACCGTGTGATATTTACATTTTTTTCAACGATAATGAAATCTACTTAAACATTTGTTTGTACACAGATTACTTTTTAGACAATTATATTCCGAACCCAGTAGGCAAAAGCGAAATATATCTCCATAAGAAAACAAAGAGCCTAAACAAAAACAGAGAACAACCATAATGAAAAGCCTGGCCACAACATTCAGTAAACAAGATGTAACACCCTTTCAAATTCTTGTCTCACTAAGGAGGCGGATTGCTGGCACTGAAAGCGGAGAACCACGAACCTGGAGATCTTGCCGTGATAAGAAGCCCCCCGCTGGGACCCTTCACCGCTACGTCCCTGTGCATGCAGTTGTGGGTGTCCATGGAAGAGATCGAAGAGGGGACGCTGCGTGTCTATGTTGAGGTACTGATATGTGTGTGTTTGCGTGTAGATTGTATTATGTGAAAGTGTGCAAATGAGTATTAGTGTTTGTGAGAGAGATAAATCATTAAAGAGAAATGATAAAAGTATGAATGACTGCGTATATTAGTATTTGATTATGTGTGTGCAGAAATGCCTGTGAATATTTCCCTACCTTTAGTAAGTGGCCATAACCAACCTGTGAAACATGAACACCTCCGTCTTTACAGCCAATAGGCGAAGAGAAAGTGCTTGTGTGGAGTCTGAGCAACTCAGTCCAGCCGGGATGGCAGCTTGGGCGGGCGCCTCTTTACAACGTCACAACGGGCTTCTACCAAGTCGTGCTCGAGGGCGTCCTTGGTGTCAACCAGCTGGACGTCTTGAGTAGGTGTCTGCGTCCTTCTCTTTTCTTTCAAGAATTTTCGTTTAATATTCCAAGAACCACGACAATCTTTTGAAACAGCTTGGCCAATATAAAGCAAACGTGTTTCCAAAATTCGATTTGTTGCAGGGGTGGATGACATCATGATGTTCTATGGCCCATGCGGTATTTGGCCAAAGAAAGCGACACCGGGAGCAGGAACCACGACCACAACGACCTCCCTCCCACCCATTTCCACTACGACTCAGGGTCAGTAGTCAATATTAGCCCAGAAAAACAAAAATCATGGAGGGGTTTTCAGATGCACTTTGATGCGATTTTTATTTTTGCAAAAATAAGTTTGAAACGGTTTTATTGGTGAATTTCATAGGCGATTAGAAAGAGGAGTCAAATTATTATCGCTAAGTTGAATATTAGATTATATTATTGCATACTCTTATTCTGTCTTTGATAACACGTGGTAATTTAATAACGTTTAAAACTGTTAAATTAACTTTATTTATTTACTCCAAAAGAACCCATTTATTGGATTTTTATTTATTTTATACATATTATATATTGGACGAATAAGTATATGACCTGATGATCTATTCGCAGATAAATACATGTTTCATACATAACCTTTCTGTAAGTGTACAAGATGTCGGCGATAAGAGAGAACAGGCACAGAGTTGCCTTGGAGGTATGCAGAGGAAAGGCCCTGCACAGAGCTTGTCTCCGAGGGGATCACTTCCGTGTATATCAACCTTATAGGATAACAGGTAAATTACGCTTTACTCATGTAGAAAATTGAAACTGAAAGATCAGTAATTTTAATATTTACGATATTTATCTAGATTTACATCATACAACATAATATAACCAATAAAATAAATGACAATCAGAGTCAGTGAGAATATCACGAATATATTACTATGTTAATACCAATCTAGATTATGAAATAATTGAAAATCAGCAGCTCGAGAAATACACTTAAAAGACACACCATGTATATATATATATACCATTTAATTAATCAGTCTTCATCTGCATTATATAGCAACCGGGTCACTAACCTGTAGCGTTGGAAGTCCGAAAGTGGGTACAGACCCGAATGGCGTCAAGCGCTTATGAGTTGGTCGTGTATGGTCCGTCTATGTGAATGAGCTCGTTACTGTGAGTGTGGTCTTGACAGTGTGTGTGTGTGGTATTACCTGATGTTCTGGTCGAACGGACCGCCCAACACGCACTTCGTAAGCACACTCGCGCGTGGTCAATGGCAATGAGACATACTAATTCCCACTGAGTTCTCTACACAGGTGGATGGGGATCGGCTAGGGAGAGGTATTTTTGTGGCTGAGTCTTCTGCGCCAAGGATGATCGTGTCGTACGAGCATGTAGTGCTACAAGTAGCACCATACTTTGTGCAGACCATATCCCATCTGAGCTTGCTGTCGTGTGCTGGTGAGACTGGTGCACGAGTAGTTGAACTATAAGTGGATTGATCGTAGTACATTCCCGATTCCGCATACTGTCGACATTTGTGAAGACGAGTGTCTATACATGTCGGTATAATATCTTTAACCAATACCAAATGTTCTGTTACCACAAAACTCCCGAATTATGTGACTCACAAGAATACTGATATTATGGATTGGCAAACTCGCTTAGAGTCACTTCGAAATCCTGAATTAGACACTACTCTCATTAATCTAGAGGCAGTGTTGTCCAAGACCCATTCTTATTCCTAGGTGTCTCTCGAGCCTCCACGCAGAGCAACAACGGACTCATCATCGCCGTCAAGGGGATACGAATCAAGCCAAGGCATTATACTCACAACACTTGAGTGAGGTCACTACACCTCTTGGCAACGGGGTAAGCATAGTGAAACGACCACTCAAATACCGAGCGCATAGACGAGCGAGCCGACATGCATGACTTACGATGGAGAGAACGCGAGAGACTTTACACGATCTTGCGCGCGAACGTAAGTTAAAGTATTTAGACGGCATAGAGAAATGTGGATTTGTTAGTCCTGGGAAATTCACAATCGAATCACGGGGGTTTTATACTAAGTAAGATCACCGAGCGGTCTCGGGACAATGAAAGTAGAGTTATTCACAGTTTCGACCGCCATGCCTGATTTGCTGTAGGCTGTAATCTTCGTCATTGACGATATGCATAGGGCATTGGCAATACACGGTCTTACAAAAGTACAAAGGAGGACTAATTTACATATGTTGGTTTCGTCAGGATTGGAAGGCAATTGTATAGTATCAACATTTTAATAACTCTTCAATAACCGATATGTATTTGTGTATATGTAAAAAGCTCGTACAAACACTATTATATTCTAAATTTCTCCCAACAGGTTACATGGCAAGAGTAGAACTTTCAAAATACAACGTAAATGATATTGGTCAGTTGATCTCACCCGTGTACAAGAACTATGGAAAGACCTACAAGTATGTGGTGGAGATTTTATAATGTGCACATTTAACAACACTCCTGTTTATCTTTCCTTTCCTCATATTATGTCTTCCTTCTTTTACCTCTCTCTTCTCTCTCTCCTCTCTCTCTCTCGTCTCTCGCTCTCAATGCATCGCTCAACATTCGGCTCGGCGTACAGTATAAGAATGGCTCCGTCCATGTCATTTATGTTGTGTGAATCAACACTCGCAATGCAAATTTTTCATAATTAGTAAATAATCATTTGCATTATCTAATCAAAAACAGTTTGTTTCGCAATATAAGTTGGAGGGGGGGGGACCCCCTAAAAGTACGAGAAGGTAATCAAAAGGGTACAATAAGCGAAAAGGTTTGAAACAACATTGCTACTAGAGCAAATCTTCACACCTCATCATCATTCTGGACTGGGATCCACAGGGTCAGGAAAAAAAAACTATCCTACAATTTCGCACACATTATCTACTCCAAAGCATGTGAAATGATTGATGTTTTATCTGATCTGTGCATAAAGGCTCAAATTGGTTCTTAACCTGATTTGCATTCATGATGTATACTGTGAAATGTATTGGCAGCCGGCTAAAAAAAGGTATATTTTATTGAGTTGTTATTGACTTTATATTTGTTTTTTAAGTGTATACTCTATCCTACGATTCCTTTAGTTGTACGTAACATTCAAAGTCCACAGCTTTTGAAGTCTCGGTAGAGGCAACATTGATTGAAACGACAAAAAATACAGAAGAAAAAGCTCTTTTGTAGAGAAAAATACTGGACTGCTAGTTTGGCATGACGCACAGAATGTGAAGTGAACACAGTGTTTAAAGGATATGTTTATGTAATTTCCTTTGACAGGATTCTTGTGCGCAAAATAACTCAGGAAATGGGATAAAGGAGCGTAATATGTCGATGCGTGTCCCCAGACACATAAACGCACAGACCACAAACAAAGCATCCACATGAAAACGCAAACGGTATTATATACACTTAGCTGTGTCATACATTACACGCTGACCGAGCATCCTATAATCCTACAGAATAGGACTCGTATTCAACCGCAAC